GAGAGAGAGAGAGAGAGAGAGAGAGAGATGCTGGTTTTGAAGATGGAGAAAGGGGCTACAATCCAAAGAATTGCAGGTGCCCTCTACAAATGAATTGGCTCCTAGAGCCTCCGGAAGAACAGCTCTGTTGACATTTTGACTTTAGGATGATAACTTTGTGTTGTTTTAAGTTACTACATTTGTGGTAATTGTTACAGCAGCAATAGGAAACTTGTACAGCTGGTATGTCAGTGCCCATGCCAGTATCCAAACACAGAACACTGGTCCCATCTCTCTAAAGCCTGTGCCATTCACCACTCCTCTTTAGACTTTATGGGAACCCCTAGGCAGTGTGCTGACACCATTGATATGGCTTTGATTTGTCTGTCTGGCAGTTTGGGTAATCTAAGCCATGATTTAAATAGTGGCAATCTCAGAAACTTGGTTTTTGGTATACCTAATTCCACTGTATGAAACTTCCTGAAGTTGGAACACAATAAACTACCGAAGTATTTGTTTCCAACATCTGAAGAACATCTAGGCCGGGCTCGGTGGCTCAAGCTGTAATCCCGCGCTTTGGGAGGCCAAGGGGAGTGAATTGCCTGAGCCCACGGGTTCGAGACCCACCTGGGCAACTTGGCGAGACCTCATCTCTACAGTAAATCAAAAAACTAGCCGGGTATGGTAGCGCTCGCCTGTACTTCCAGCTACTTGGAAGGCTGAGGCGGAAGGATCTCTGGAGCCCAGGAGGTCGAGGCTGCAGTGGACGGGAGCAGCCACTGCACTCCAGTCTGGGCAACAGAGTGAGACTCCAACTAAAAAAAAAAAAAAAAAAAAATCTGACTGAAGACCACAACCCATTGAACTGGAAGTCTCCACAGAGCACTGAAACTGTTAATAAATACTAGATTACTTGGGCCTTGGGAGGTGAGGCTGCTTAAAATGGAATAAAATAGCCCCTATGTGGAAGCCCTGTTTTGATACTTTGGTGGAAAGCACAATGCCACTAACACTGCTACAGTGTAACGAGCCTTAGATTTTGGTGAATTTCACTGTAAGTGGCCAGAGATGACAGATATAGGGCAACCCTGACTGGTGCAGTTGATGTCAAATAGATATAGTGGATGTAATGAATTCAATCAACTTTTTAATTGAAATATGTAATTGAAACTACTGTACGTCTCAAACTTCTAAGCACTCTCAAGAAGCATGCCATTGGTTCAGGGCCATTTGAAATTCATAAAAATGTATTTTGTAAATATTACACCAGTTTTACAGTTAAGATATTTTATTAGGTGGCTGTGGTGGGATTATAAACTTTATTAAGTATGGCTCTTTCCTTATTTATAGGCATCCCGTTTATAGTTACATAGGCTGATGAAATTTTCTTAAACCATGAAAAATGTTTCTTCTGCAGTAACTAATGGCTCAAGTTTATGAATAAAATGCTTTTAGATTATGTAGCTCAATAAGTGCAAACCAACGACTCTCTGCTTTTCTTAATTTTTAGAAAAGAGTCTGATCTATACTTTGACATATATTAGATTTGTTGGGAGATCACAAAGCAATACATTATTGTCACAAATTGTATAGTATTACTTGTGCTATAATATAATCACTATCTTAAAAATACTTATCGTCTAGTTACTGTCAGAGCATTTGCTATATGAAACTGTATAATATATATTTATTTGCCTTTTAAAATCAAGCACATTAGTTATTATCTTAGCTTATCTACATTCAGGCATACAGTTTGAGAGAGTCAAGGAATTAACTACCCTCGCTGCAGATGAATTAAAGAAAATTTAGGATGTTAGTGGGAAAAAATAGAAAATATTCTTATTTGATCAGCTTAAAATTATCATCACTGAATGACAAAAAGTTAATCTTAAGGTGAAAACAAGCAGAAAGTAAAAAATGATAATTTTTGAAACACTTAAGAAAAAATTATAATTCAGAACTTCTAAGAAGCAAAAGATATGTTCTTTTAGGGTTTGTAGAGAAAAAATTACATCCTTTGGCTAACCTTTGAAAAAGATACATATTTCCTATATTGTTTACTTTGTATAGATTTATATAAGTATTGCATTCCTTAGGAATTTAAAAAATATAATGTTTCTGCCTTGAGATATATGTTTAAGATTTAAAAACACACTATCAGGCTGAGTGTGGTGGCTCATGCCTGTAATCTCAGCACTTTGGGAGACCAAGGGGAGGATTGCTTGAGGTCAGGAGTTCAGCCTGGGCAATGGAGAGGGTTAGGGGGAGAGGGAAGGAAGGAGGGAGAGAGGAAGGGAGAGGAAGAGGAGAAGGGGAAGGGAGAGGGAGAGGGAGAGGGAGACACCCTATTTCTATAAAAAATAAAAATAATTAGCCATGCATGGTGGTGCACACCTGTAGTCCCAGCTACTTGGGAGGCTGAGGCAGGAGACTTGCTTGAGCACAGGAGTTCTAGGTTGCAGTGAGCTGTGATCTTAGTGTACTCCAGCCCGGGCAACAGAGTTAGACCTTATCTCAAGAATATAAGACAAAACAAAACATGCTATCAAATAAGCATCTTCCTTCAGATGCAGTGAATAATGAGACTGAAAGAAAGAAAGAAAGAAAGAAAGAAAGAAAGAAAGAAAGAAAGAAAGAAAGAAAGAAAGAAAGAAAAACGCAGTCTCAGAATGCTATTTTCCCAGACCCCTTATTCTGGAGAGTGTTATGGATTGAGTGGTTTGTGTCGAAGTCCTAACACCCAATCCAGCTCAGAATATGTCCTTATTTAGAAATATGTCATTGGAGACGTAATTTAAGATGAGGTCATATTGGAATAGGGTGGGTCCCTACTTTAATATGACTGGTGTCCTTTTAAAAAGGGGAAATTTGGACACAGAGATAGACACACACACACAGAAAACACCATATGAGGACTGGAGTCATACTGCCATAAACCAAGGAACTACCAGAAATTAGGAGAGATCCTCCCCTGCTTCAGAGGGAGCATGACCAACTTGACAGCTTGATTTTGGGCTTCTAGCCTCCAGAACTATAAGATGATAAGTTTCTGTTGTTTAATCAACTCAGTTTGTAGTGCTTTGTCAGGTCAGCCCCCTGACTAATAGGGCAATGTTGTAGAGATTGGCATTGCCAGAAATTACACACTCCTTTTCTCCTCTATTTTACAGATCTCTCTTTCACAGGTTAGAAAAATCAAGGTGACAAGAAGTTTTTGAATCAAATCTCATAATGCTCTCTGGGGTGGGTCTTTCCTAAGTGACTAATTTTCCTATTAGTGAGAATTAGAGGAACTTCTCAGGGCATACAATTCTCATGCATTTGCCTGCAATTAGAGACACAAGGCTTGCTGTATTTTTCTGGGGTAGCTCTCCTGTTTCGGAGAGGTGAAGTCCAGTTTCGTGGATCAGGGAAATGAATCTGACCTGATAGTCTCTGAAATTGTTTAATTTTCTGTCTAGAATGTACCAAGTACCATTTTATTTTATTTTTTGATTACTCGAAGTGATAGTTGAATTTGGAAAGTGATTACTGTGGTATGTTATTAAAAAAAAGTTAATGCAATTGAAAAGGAAAGTGTTGGGAATACATACAGTTCTCATCTTGAATTCTAGCAGAAATGGTCACAACAGTTAGGTCTTACATGGTATTAGGCACTTTAATATATTGTTTCATTGAATTTTCCCAAGTAACTTATGAGATATAAATCTTCCTGTGACTTAGTTAAGCAACATACCCGCAGATACAGAGCTGGGGTTTGAACTCATGGAGTTTGACCCCAGGAACCACAGGCTATCACTTCACATAGGCGTCTCGATCTCATGTCAATTACTCTTGTTGTAATTTCAGCATTTTGGAAAAATCATAGTTTCCTTCTGTGGTTTTCTTTACTTAGAAATATAATGAAAATATGCAAACTAACAGCAAGCTGGGGCCAAGATGGCAAAATGGAACAAATTTAACAAGACAGTGTGTGATTATCCCTTTCTTTTTCCATTAAATTCCACTCCACACATCTAACATAACCTTTGTTCTTTGATTCTGAACATCATTTTTTTACTCTTATTTGAACGACATGCCTTTGAATGTGAATGCTGACCGAACAAAATCAATGCGGAAAGGCTGCCTCTGCTAGGGAAGCGTAATTGATGCCAATGGCATCCTGCACTCATTGGATTAATACTTACTGAGTGCCTGCTCCTGCATGTGATAGGCACTGAGCAGGTGATGGCTTACTGTTTGAGAAAGTTTAATTCTAGAAGACAGTTCAAATGAATTGTTGTAAGAGGGAACAAATAACACATTTACATGGCAGAAAATGAAACTGGCCCTACACTATCCTAAGGCTGCGGGACACTTTAATTGTCATTTAAATCCACTGGAAATGACTGCCACATTTTTATTTTATCGGACTTTTGTTGTTCAAAATATTTCTGGAAATAATTGCGTATTAGCCAGAACTGGAAAACTGTATTCTGGCCGGGTTCAGTGGCTCAGCCTGTAATCCCACGCCTTGGGAGGCTGAGGTGAGTGGATTGCCTGAGCCCGTGGGTTTGAGACCCGCCTGGGCAACTTGGTGAGACCTCATCTCTACAATAAATCAGAAAATTAGCCAGGCATGGTAGCGTGTGCCTGTAGTTCCAGCTACTTGGAAGGCTGAGGCGGAAGGATCGCCGGAGCCCAGCAGGTCGAGGCTGTGGTGGCCGGAGTGGCCATTGCACTCCAGTCTGGGCAACAGAGTGAGATTCCAACTCAAACATAAACAAAAACAAAAACAAAAACTTTATTCTGAAATAGATGCTTTTGTTTTAAAGATTCTCTAATGTAATGTGACTTGAAATATGAATATGTAAATACAAAAATATGCATTAAAATGATTCATTGTTAGTAATGGTACACTTACGTTCAGCAAAATTAGTTGAGTAATATACATTGCATTTTCTTATATAATGAAACTGATTCACGGGTTAAGGCTGAATAGCATATGTTCTAACGTTTAATTTGGTTGCAAACATTATTCCCCACTTAAAATGCATCACCAAAAAAATGTGCATTTTAGTATTATAGTTACAGTGAACTCTACTTGAGGAACAGTTAATAGTGAAAGAATTACCGGCTGTATTGGACGTTACTGGCCTGGCTATTGCCTCCGATTTGGTTTCACAGAGAAAGTCATCGATGGAGGGACTCAGGAGGGGTCTGCTTTCCTGTTGCTCATTCACCAGCTGAGAACAAACGAACACAGGTGTCAAAAGGCTTTGTTAAACTTCAGAATCAGGTGATTAAAATGCAGCCTTGCAACAAAATGAAAATAGCAAGCCTATCAAAATAAATACGTACATAAATAAATAATGGGGCAGGGTGAGGAAGAAAAAAATACCAAGGGATAGGGAATGAGCCTTTAGCACTGTCAACATATTTTGATGCAGCCAACTCCAATGTTTAAAGCTCAAGCCTTTTACTCCCTCCTGGAATAGTTTTTGAATTACCCCTAATTTCAATATGCAGAAAATAACACCTGTTGTTCATAATTGATGCTAATGGCCAATCTCACACCTCACTCAAAAGTTCCTATTAAAACTTGGAACAGTGACTTCAGACTCTGAGGGACATGTCCTGGTGAGGATGGGTCAGTCAGTGTTTATGTGGAAAGTGCAGACACAGGGATCTGTGAACTGGATAAATGCCTGCCTTTTCTCCCTCCATTAAAAAGCTCAAGTCACCTAAAACACATTCCCTGCATTTCCTTGGAATGCTTTTGTAGTATGGAACAAATATTATTTTAGAAGAGTAGACAATATTGTTATATTAGCTGTATTGGTATCCAGTAGATATATTTGTGAAAATCTATAAGTCAAATATATTTCTGTTAATTCAACATATTTTCCCATTAGCTTGTTCTCTAATTTCAGCAATCTTTCAGTTTGATTTTTAGTGGATCTTTTTTTTTTACTAGTTACTTGTTTAGGAAAATTCCATTTTTTTTTTTTTCTTTTTTTAATTTTTATTAAAAAAAATTTTTTTTTTTCATTAATCAGTATTTTTTATTATGGTTTTGTGGGGTACAGTTAAGGGTTAGGTGTACAATGACGTTTCATTCAGGCACCCTGTAGATAAGAAGTGTTTTCCCATCCCCCGACAGATATTTGCTACTGTTAATCCCATCCCCCTCCCCCCCATAGTTTCGCAGTACCATCCGTCATTTTCTCATAGTATTGCATTGGATGTTCAAGGTCCATTATATGAGTGAGAACATGTGATATTCGGATTTTTGTTTTTGTGAGAGGTTTGCTTTCAGTTATTCTGCTCCTCTTTGAATCCAAACTTGCTCAAAGTGTGTTTCTATGGTTAAGGGAGAAAATATACTATGATGCATGCACAAGTGGTTAATTCCTAAGCTAACTGTCTTAGCTTTTTGGGAGTTTTTATGTTGGCCTTTCTTAAAATAGGCATAGTCATCTGATTTTATACTTAAAAGAAAAGATGTGGCTAACAATCTCTAGATTTTCAGGTGCTTATTTGTAAAGTATTTTAAGAGACACATAAAATAAGAAATGAAATGCTTTGGGGTATTGCCAAATCAAAATATTTTATATTATTCTATTTACTTTCACCTCATTGTTTCTTTGGTAATGTGTCAGGGGCATTATGACTTAAAGCTGATGGAAGGTGGTGAGGAATCTAAATAATGGTAAATAAGGAAAGAAAAAATGCAGTTCTATTATTTCTGAAAGAGCAACATGGAAGCATTCAGTGGTCATTTGGAGACTGGAAGCCAAAGAGATACTTTGGGTAATTTAACATATTCATGCTGCCTAAACATGGATAACTCTCATTTAAACATGGATAAATCTCAGATCTTCATTAGAGTTTAAGATTTCAACACAGAGTTGGCAATTTAATTTTTATACACATTCACTTGTTATTGAGGGATAAGCATAGAGTGTTATTTTAGTGTTCAAGTTGCAATGATAGACATTTCTTCAATTATTACAACCTTTAGTGCCACTATATATTAAAAACTCAAAGATTTTGCTAGGAATCAAATTATCCAGGGCTTGCTTTGGTATTATTATTTTTTTTTGTTAGGATGCTGCTTTAACCCATTAATGAAACTATGGGTCTTTACATTTTCTTTTCTGAATTCAAATATTATTGGATATTGCCCATTCTATTTATACTGAAATATTTTTTAAATGTTGAGGGACTATGAGCCTCCCAGGTTTCTGGGATAAAATATATTTGAATTTTTGTAAATGTCATGGTCTATTTGAATTTAGGAGTGATTTGTAATGTTTTCTGGCATAAAAATCAATTTTATTATCTGGAAATGCAGTTGAAAGCACTGGCATAGAATATATTAGAAAATGATGAAAGGGCTAAACGTCAGTGGTTCTGTGAGCTCCTCTGAAAATGTGATCAGTGTCCTAGAATCTGTATCACATTTATAGTTAGTTCACGTACAAACTGTGTGTATATAATAATTTCCAGAGGAACCATACATTAATGTATATTTCCTGGTACAACAGCTCTTTTGACTGTATGTGCTTAATGTAATGAATCCGTCTACTGTGATATGCCATGGTGATGAGGTCCTAACTTCACAAACAATGCCTACCTCTAGGCTGTGGCATCCTCATAGCTGTCCAATGAGATCTGAATTCTGCTGTGTTGTAAGCATTCATGGAGGATGAAGGTTACCATCAACTATGGAATCACATACTGTGCTTACAGAAGTTACTATAACTGGATTGCATTTGCTGAGCAGCACATTCCGATGACTGACCTTCGGTTCCAGTTCTTATTGATCCATTGGCTAAAGTATATAAGGCACACAGACTAAACCAGCCAATACAGCTGCAACTTTAAAAATATATATATAGATATATGTATGATGTCATAACTATCTCTTTTCCAGCCATTATTTCTTTGAAGAAAGGTCTAATTTCATTGACAGAGAGCTAAGATTGAGTCTTCTTAATAGTGAGAAATAGTAACTGTTATGCAGATAAGTGTGAACAATATTCTATGAGTAGTTCCTTGAACTCTTTCTTTACTTACTTTGGATACGGTTAGAGGCTTTTGTTAAAAAAAAGACTAAAAATTTATCTCTAAATCACCTCTCTGTATACATTGGTGAAATAGGCTACATTAGCTATAGTTTTAGAAGATCAAGGTGTTAGATTTCTATTTTTTTTAGTTGCAAATGCTCAAAAACTAGTCTAAATTTGATAAAATAATTCTAGAAAGTAAGATCTTTGTCAACATCTAAATGGAAAGCAAAGGAAAAGCCACAATTAGATGAGAGTCCTGTCCTTTTGGGCAACTCGGCTTTATCAAAAGCAATAGGTTTTTATCTTTTATTTTATTTTATTTTTGGGGTCTTTCTCCTCATTCAAACTTCAGATATATTTTCTGGAGAATGCACCTCTAGCACTCTCAGATATATGGGGGGGGCAAATAAAAACCATAATTATTTTTTGGAGGGAGGACTCCTTGTAATATAGGCTTCTGCTACTAAGTAAGTGCTTCAGGTTTTTTTTGTTTTGTTGTTTTGTTTTGTTTTTTTATAGATTCTTTCAATGTGGTTGCCCATTTCATGATGGGTGATTTACTAGCTGCCCACACTGTGCTGAATGTTCAGTAGTTTTTGGCCTAAAACCGCATGACCCCTGTGTCTCAGCCTCCCTATTTACCTGATCTTGCCCCAAGAGACTTTTTTTTGTTTCTCTGATGAAAAAGTCCTCAAAGGGAAACATTTTACCAATGTGGAAGAGGAGAAACCAAAAACACAGAAGCAATAACAGGCATCAAAATGTACAGGTTCAAAAACTGTTTTGAGCAGTGGAAAAAGCATCTCGATGGGTGTACTGCATTCAATGGAGAGTCCTTTGAAGGTGCCTGAAGTTTAAACATGTAAGAATAAATACATATTTTTTAAATAAATAAATTCTGGGTTTTTAAAAATAAATAAAGTCTGGGGTTCTTTGGGTCTCCCTTCATACTCAGCATAGGAAGAAAGGAATACCAAAGGGGAGATTGTTCAGAGAGACCCCGGGGAGGTCAGGCCAAAGGCTTCTAGACCTTTGCCTCAGGAGGTCTGTGTCTCTTCCACACCTACAGTCTTGTTTCTGGCCATAGTTCACACCTGGAATTGTTGTGACTGCCCAACTCTTATAACTAGTGTGCTTGTGTGGCTTTCTTCCACAAATATAAATCAAAGAAGGAGTAACCATCTACTCTCTGAGTCAGTATTTTTTGAGCTGGAGTGTAGTTTAGCTGTTGGGAAAAGGTTGGGCTGGAGTCGAGGATAATGGCAGCGCTCAAGGGTGAAGGCCAGCTTGCAGACAGCATGGAAAGGTAATTGAAACTGAACGGAAAGTGTTTTGCTTTTGATGGAGATACCGAAGATGAAACAGGAGATTTGATGAAGTTATAAAAATCCTGTCTTATATGCTCTGAGGTCAGAGACTATATCTTACTCGTATTTATATTATTTTCCCAACTTCAAATAGAATGTCTACATATAAAAGGGGTTCAATACATGGCTATTAAATGAGATAGTGAATTTGCAGAAAATGAAGACAAAAATATCTATCTCACACAGTCCAATTTTAAATGGTGTCTTCAGTTGAATGAATTTAGGAATGATTATTTTAGCCATAGGAAGTTCCATTTTATTTTTATTTGTACAGAATAATAGCTTTTCCCTTGCCCCCTCCTCATCTTCAAACAAGTTTTTGATTTTTCCTTTGGTGACTTGAGAATAAATAAATCTTGTCATAAAAGAAAATTTGAAACTGAACTGAATCCCCCAAGTGGTCTCTCTAAGCTTCATTTCCAAATTGCGTGACATTTACTTTTTCCTTATTCATTGATAAGATAAGGGTTATTAACTTCCTCTTGGAGTTGCTTCCTTCAGTTTGAAAATAAATTAAATGAACTTCCCTTATTTCATCCTTTGGGTATAGAGTATACTGATGTCATAAAAATAATAAAAGGTGAGTCAAAGTCTTCTAATTTTTTTTTAAATAACTGAGCTGGAGTGATTGCAGTTTTGGTCTAATCAGATTATCATAGCTGAATTAAAACAACCCACTTCATTAATTTCTAAGGCTTTTATCTCAGTTTGTTTACATTGTACATTTTCATTTCTTATCCTCCTCTGGCCTCTTCTCAATGTTTGGATCAGCTCTCAAGATCCTTCCAAGGGCAGATTCTTATT